GCCAAATTAGGATGTTTCGATATCAGATGATGCTTCAACTTTGATGGCAACATTGAACTATTCGATAACGTCTCACCACAAACTAAGCATAATGGTGATGGGCAATTCTTATCACCAGTAGCAGTAAACCCAAAGGCTACGTAATCTGAACCAAATAGTCGGGTTCTCTGTTTTGTATCAATTTTTGCCAGGTTTTTTTTCTTTAAATCCATTTGTGGGCATACAATAACAAAATTGTAAAGATTGAATATATAGGCCTACTTACTTCACGTTGTCTTCACGATGACAAATAATCTGTGACATGCCTTGGTGGTGAAACCACGAGTCTCATCAATAGCGCGCGGCGCTGCATGACTGGATAACGCACGTGGCTATGTGACCTTGAATAACGTCAATTCTACCCCGTTCTCGCAGATGAAGCATCGTCAAATCTAATATAAGTCGATGCAAGTATCCGTCTCCTCTCTTTTTAAAAAACTTTGTTAATAATAATTAATAAAATAAAAAAATTGTTAAAATTTATTCGACATCGCCGAACACATCGGCAACATGCATTTGTATATAGATACCTATTATTAGTTTCATATTTTTTCGGTGCTGCGGATCCCCTGGGCAAACACTGGTCTAGAGGCTAACAATGACAAGGAAGAATGCAAACGGGCAACATCAATTTATGATATCAATGCTTCTGGGATACCCGTGAACATCAAGGGATGAAGAAAAGGAGCCTCACATAACTCACAGAGGGCTACAGCAGTTAGACAAACTCCCTCCAACAAGGCATCTCTACCCAATAACTCCTAACAACATACAAGCCAGGAAACCAATGAAAGAGCAGAAACTGACAATCTTACCAAGGTAGAAGTCAGCAAAGGATCCAATCTTCAACTTAATATGGAGAATGCTGATTGGCTTCCCATAAAATATGGAGGGAAGATGAATATCTCAGAACATACAACAATTTCAAATAGTAGATCAGCTTTTGGAAATTGTACAAAAAACACTTGATATTAAAAAATAGAAATAAAAAGATATCTTTATTGATACTCATTATAAAAGATAAAAATAATACTTGGCATAAATTTTAACAGATATGGTAAAAAAAAGAAGAAATACTTTGATTCCAATTAATTATTTTGATTCAATATGTATAAGCAACTTGTGATGTGCTAAGTATAGATATTACTTAGGTATTTCTAATAAATGTTCTTAATTACAAGTGAAATATCTCATTTACAGTGCTCCTAAAATCAAAGACGACACATTGTATTATAAATTAAACTTAAGTCCAAGCTTAGATGGAGTTTGAAAAAATTATTAAAATTATCTAGATGTTCTGGAATTAATTTTACATTCATTTTGCTTTAGAAATACACATTTCAGTTATATAATACAATGTATTACTTACACAATAGGTCAAATCCATGTTGGGTGGCACTTCAGTAGTTAATTGGTCTCTCAGTCTAGTTAGAGCTCGCTCCTTAGATGCTGCTTCCTTTGCCTTATCTAAAGACTAAAAGAAAAATAATTATATCTTCTGTAATTTCACCTTCCCTGAAATTATACATTCATTTTGGTTTTGTAGAACACTTGTGTTTAAAAGCATAACTTTAAGAAATGTACTGTCAAATATTTATATATATATATATATATATATATAGTTGCAGCCTAATGACGAGATAAAAAGAACATATTAGGGAATTCTGATGAGGCCTATTTGCTGCTGCAAAGAAAGATGAAAGACTATACAAATAGATCAATTCTCGATGTATTGACAAAATCCAATTTAAAAGTTCTTTTCATGTACATACTTGAATACCATTTTATAGTTCAATAGCCTTCTAACTGTATTGATGGCCAAAATGCACTAGCTTTTTTAAACAAACATATTAAAAACTTATTGGAAATTTCTTGGCTATTTATATAAATACTACAAAATATCATTAGTAAATCTCAACAGAACTAGCATTTCTTTCTCTTATACCTTTAAAACAAACACTGTCTTTAACTCTCTCACTATGGACTTGGTCTAATTGACTGAGTTCATGACCCCAAATTGACCATGTTTCCAGACAATAACTTTTAATATGTTATGTGTATATTCACAAACATTCAGTAATTACTAAGTCACTTGTAAACAAAAAATCTGATTTTTTAATGCAGTATTTTTGCTAAATATTTCTCTATAAATATATGGAGTCAAAGTGTTAACTGCTCAAAGTACAAAGTGACTTTCATGTTAAGATTAAAAATACTTTTCTTCATCTGAAAAATCTCAATTTTCATTTGCATAGTTTCTAAAAAACCTCCTAAATAAATTTCAAACATTTTCCAGTAAAAATTTTATATGTTATTTTCTCTACCCTAACTCTATACAAAGTTGGTGAATTTGACCAATCTCATAATCACCAAAAAAAATGCGAAAAAATCTAAATTACCCTTTTTTCTTTCTAAAATGACTTCAAATTGTAACATGAAACCACATTTGTGTATCCTAAATACTTTAAATTCATAACAGTATACACTTGTTTATACTTAAATTTTATTGTTTTATTGTCATTTGAACTGTGACTAACTGATATTCCCAGCATAAAATTTGTAAATCACTTGGTGAACATGCAGCTCACATTACCCTGTCAAATTACATAATGCACGAGCTACTCTTGAGTGTATCTCATTAGAAAAATTATATTATTATTATTATCCTTTATTTTACCTAATCTTACTTTATCTAACCTAAAGTTTCTAATTTTTACATTTTAGTTACTTGTATAATAATAGATAAAGAATACACATGAAAAACAAGGAAGATAATACTTACCTGGATCTTTCTTTTTTTTTGCTGTCAATTGTTGATGAAACTTAACCCTACTCTTTTATAATAATGGCACTACTACACTAAATAATATTTTATTTAATTAAATAATGCACCAAAGAATACCAAATGATCACATGCAAAAAGTACTTTCCTATAACTATACCAGTTTTTCTGGTTTTCTAACTATGGGATAAGAGCTGTTAAAAATTCCATCGAGCTCATTGATGTATTTCCCGTAGTAATAAAAGTTTGAACTGGAAGTGAAATAGACAATTCTCTGTACAGAAAAGAACGTAATATAATATGTCATTTGATAGATTAAAACCTTGGCTTTCTATTGGTTATAAATAATATAGTATTAAACATCAGAGTACTTTTGCAATTTCTGAAAGAAAGGATGTGACAGGTGGGTGTGGCAAGAAAAGTCTGATTTTTCTATTCGATGGCTCTGTAACTAAATAAGATTAAAGGCTATAAAAAGTATGCTTTGTCTGAGCAATGACAACATCATAATGAGTAATTTACATTAAATTTCGTACTTCATGGAGGGGTGATAAATAAATTAAAAAAAGAGAGGATGCCTAGAGAGAAAATGTCACAATTCTTATAGTAGGGGAAATTCAGGATTTATTTAAAATATGGCCATATAAAATTATGAAATTAAAATGTATACACTATTAAAATTTGGATACATTTTTATGCCAAATTTATTTAAGTAGTTTAATTAAATTTTGAATGTAACTCATTAAAACCTTGTCTGGAGTCCAAATTAGAGCATCTCTCAAATAATTATTGTAGCACAGAAGCTGACCACTCTTTGCACATCAAAACATTAGGATTCTGATACATAGTTCAGATAAGATGTTGAACAACAGTTGTATTTCTAAGCTTCTGTAGCTTTCTTATAATTTAATATTTGTAGAGACCAAGTGTTTAGGAAGAAGAATAAAAGTTAAAAATAGTTCAAAAAGTATATAGATAGAATTAGAATATCAATATGCAGATATAGAATTATCATACACATAATTGTGGCACAAGGTAATATTTCTTACAGTACTATCTTTAACTAATCATGGAATTTTTCACAGAAGCATACGACCATGCAAGTACTTGTGTGTCATGTTACTACTTGCAAAAGTCAGAGAGAATTAAAACTGTTATTCTATGATGACAACTGGGATAACTTAAGGATTTTTAAGGCATTTTATAAATTAGAAAATAACTACTGACATAACACAAAGACAAATAATGACATGAATCTTGTTTTAAATTTTTTGGTGTTAATGTTTTCCATTAGTTCATGACCATGACACTTAAGGAAGGAATGAGTTGTTTTCCCAATCTATTAGAATTGTAGATGAGGAATCACCTGGAACCAATGAGATGATGGCAGTACAGAATTAGACCAATAAAAAACATCCAGGAGGAAAAAAATAATAATAGTATTTTACATATACAATTTGTTCAGGGACTGTGAAGTCAGATTTTGTGGTTTTTGTTCACTAGTCAAGACCAAACTTCTTAGAGTTCTACTTCTAATTATGGTATTAATATTGGTAATGGTTGAAGAGTATTTTTTTAATCCTGTAATTTATAATGTTCAACCATGTTTTATCTCTTATTTTTCTAGTAAGTTTTCATTTCTAATTTTCTAAGTTTTCAATTTGTCTTTTTAAAACTTCTAACGAAGCTCTTCAATTTCTCTATTTTTAATGCACTAAATATTCCAGTCCTCCACTTTTTTTTAATCTTTGCAAAGATAGTGTCCATGGTTGGCAATTCTGCATTTAAATATATCTGATTTTAAACTTAACGAAAGTTTTAACTTATCTAAGTGAATTGTTAATTTCAGTAAATAATTTCTTAAAAACATATAAATAAAAAACTTGGTTATTTATCAAAAATCCTTTTTTGTGATAGATATTGTAAATAAAGTTAATGTTTTACTCAAACCAGTTACAAGCAAGTATAATAAAGCAAGATTAGCTAATGAAAGTAATTGGCAAAGAAACTACAAATTGTATCATGTTGAACACCCAGACATTCTTCTGAACAAGAGATTGAATATTAAAAATGTTATAAGTCCTCCTGATAACAACTTGTTAAGAAAAAGTAATTTCAAAATATTTTAATCCTTGTGATTTTGAAACATCGAAAAATATAGATAATTTATAACATTTAATTCAAGTGTTAAAAAAATACATTACCAATTACCTAAACAATGAACAGGTTTAGCTCAATGTTGACATTTATTCACTGTAAGTTCCAATGTGTAGTAAAACCTGTTCGTTTTCTATTTATTAAATGTATTACCAAAACCTGAGAGAATGTACACTTTTGTAAATTGTTATTTTAGTAAATGACGTATATCACTCATACTTTACATAGATGTACCAATACATTAATAAATACAGAAAACTACCCTCTTTGTTAACCACAAAGCAACATGCTTTAGTTATTATAACAAGTTAAAACTTCACCATTGAATTGTTTAAATGGAATATTTTATAAATCCTTTATACATAGCATGTAAATAAAGGAAGACTACATTACCGAAAGAATAAAAAAGTAGTTTTAATTATATATGTGTAGCATAATGTACCCTTTTTATCCTTGAAAATCTTCAAACCAGAAAGCAGGTTCATCAATTTCCTTCCTATTTCATTAATTTGTTCAGTTTTAAGTCAGTTTTTCAAACTTGTTTTCAACAATATTTTTTTTTACATAATCTTTGTTAATTATTCTTACATATTTAGAAATATTTTTCTTTGCTACACTTAGGAAAGATTTTCATTGTTAGTTAATATCACTTTGAAGAAATGGGTACGTACCTTTACCTTTCCATTGATCAATATAATATAAATAAGTGCTTCCATTTACTACCTAAAGAAAGTGTGTAACATTAAAAAGCTGTAACTGAAAGTGATAAGTTCTACATACAATCTAAACTTACCAGCTTCAACTCTTTCCTGTCTGCTGCCAGACAACTTTCTTCCATTAGCTCTGTTACTTTTTTCTCTAACTGTTTGACTCTTTCTTCAGGGCTATTAAATGTGCTCAGATTGAAATTTAGGAATTTACAAAAAAACAAAAAAACAACTTAAATCAGAAACTGACTTCTTAGTTATTTTATTACCAATTTTCTTTTCAAGGTTTGAACAATAACAAATGATTAAATAACTAAGTCGGGAAAACACTGCATAACTAAAAGTAGTCTAAATTTTAGAGCTTAAAAACTCATTATCAAATTTGTAACTAACTTTACAGTAATGCTTCTGGGTGGTTAAATCAATTTCCTGTGATTCTAATCAATTGCATTCTTAATTAAACATAAAAAAAAGAAATTATACTGGTGAAAACAACTCATTTTCATTTCTTTTAAAGCAGTTTATTGTACTGTAAATATGCGAAAGTTCTGCTAACTTGTCTTAATACTACACATTTTTTATCATAAGTTTACATGCACTAGTTCTATTAATTTGTTTTAATACTACACAATTTTACAATAAATTAACATTTGATAGTTCTGTAACTTTGTTTTAATATTAAGCATTTCATTTTAAAAATATGCAGTTACTAATTCTGTTACCGTATTTTAATAATAAAGATCTTATTATAAAACAGAAAGTTAATAATTGTGTAATAACATCAAGTATTCATTATAAAATGTCCAACTACTAGCTTAATAAGAACAAACAGAAGAAGTGAAATAATGTTACATATAACCTTAGCCTGGAAAGAGCTGACAAACAGAAATTTCCTATCTACCTATTTTCATCTTTAAACTGGAGGGGTGACACTGATGTGCTACGCTGATTAAGTGGATCAAAAACTCCAGACTGACCTGTATTTAAATATTAAGAAACCATAGTTATTGAAACAATCATAACACTTAAAAATTTATATAATACTTTGGTGTAAAATATTAACTCTAAATGTAATTTAAAAAAAATTCAAATAAACTGATGAAACCATGATCGTTAATAAATGAGATATTTGTGAAACATACAATTGTCTTTGTTTTCTCAATTCTGTATTCATAAAAGCTATGTTAATCACAACTGTCCAATTGCAATATAAACAAACCAACCTAAAAATTGACATTTGAGAAAAAGCAAAAGTATAGTAAATGAAAATATTAACAATTATATTATTAATAGTCATTTACTCTTTGTACATTTTATAAGATCTTAGAACATATATTTTATGTAGCACATTATATTGATTCAGCATTTTTATACTATTGGGACAGTGGAATAAAAGGTCATTACCATCACTACTATGAATTTGTTTGTAAGCTCATGTTTTTTTCCTTTTTAAATCATTATAGTCAGCTCTACAATTTCTGACTTTTGTGTCAATCCTTTACAAAACCTACAGGGCATCCGAAAAATATCTAATAAACTTATTATATAGTATACTTTCATTGCAAGTATTGCTGATAAATTAGCCAAGTAACAAGAAGGTTCTTAACAATGGAAGAAAGAGGTAGTTAATCATTTCAACTCAAGTGTTGAACAAAGAATTAGCAATATACAGAAATGTGTCAGAAGTTTGGCATTAGTATGGAACTCGTTGGAATGAAATTCCACCATGTCCAGAAACAATCAAAGCACTGAAAAAAAAAATTAGTACATCATGTATCCAAAAATGTGGGTCATCCATGTAACATTAACACTGAACAAACAATAGAAATTCTTGCAAATGCTCTGATTCAGAACCCACAAAATCCATTTAACATTTTTCAGCAGAGCATTTAAAGGAATATTTTGAGAAATGGCTACTTTTACTTTGCAGCTCATTTATATCTTGGTATATGTATAAATGCAGATACCACATGTTAAGCACACTCCAGAATATGCAACATTTGTTCTGTTGCACTAATACTGACTCCAAAAGACAGACAAGCAGAGAACTGAGAAAGAAAATATTTCAAATAGTTGTTAGATGCCTTTTTTTATATACAACCTGAATGCAATTCTTTGAAAAATGTGCAAATATGGAAATAAAAAAGTCATAGATCTGAATTGTAAGGAGTTATTTCTGATGAAGAAGAAAGTTCTTGCTATAGAATGAAATTTTTACCTTTTCCATCTACATAAATTTTATGTTAAACCCAAATTATTACTGCATATAAAAACTACAGGTTCCTGAATAACTCAAAAATAAATTTTGTTTAACTTGGGTATTTTCCCAAGACTGAACAGTATTTCAGTTTACTATAAATGTCTCCACAGAAACCATTTTATATTCTTGTTTTACTCCTTTATTTCTTATTTTCGCAACAATAGTGAATCAGTGAAAAAAATATTGAACTTTTTTTTGCAGTTCAAAAACTTTACCCTGGTAAAAATTTGTGGCACAAAAAAAAGCTATTTCCTTTATACTACATGTGGTATCTTGTGATCCCTCTGGTGTACTTTACACTAACTTAGTGACATCATCAGTAATAAAGGATCCACGAATCATTCACTTGGTATATGCTTTCAGAGCTTTCACCAACTTCCTGACCCCAATCCTGTTCTGCAATAACATAAATATTTATCCACATATGGAAGATAAAATACAAGTGGATACAAACCACTCCATTATTGTCTCACACCTCCACAGTACACCCTAACTTCATCTCTAATTAACACATGATCTGTAAGGTTGAGAATACTACTACTGCTTATGTGGGCAAAGAAAATATTATTTACTCTGGCAGCAATGTTGGTTTAACTGCTACATTTATTGTTTATCAATATAAGTCAAACTCTTAGCAGTTAGTGTGTGTGTGTGTGTGTGTGTATGTGTGAATCATCAATTTCTCCACAGATTTTTAATACTCCAACCCGTTTTAACATAGACCATTCTTTATGGACAAAAATATAGATAACAGCAAAGGTATCCAACTGATGAGTCATTATGTTCTAATTACAGGCTTCACCTTCTTATGAATTGTTTTATAACATAAAGTACCCCTAGTCAGTCCATTATATAAAATTAGCTACATTATTTCTTATTTTTCAGTTCTGATTTACAGTTACATTACTTTGGTTAAAAGTTATTAATAACTGAATTTATGTGACTGACTTCAAATGTATAAACTACAATTCAAGTTGAACACTAATGGAGCATTTCAGAATACTCTCTCTGAAAGTGTTGATGTTCGATCAATGTTAATCTTGAATTGTAGTTTATACATCTTAACTCAGTCATATAAATTATATATATATATATATATATATATGTCCCTCTGAGAAAAACTTGAATGAATTATTTTCATGACTTTATCTAATATGTAATAAATCTCATAGACGACATGTAAAGGTTGAACAGTAAAATGAAGCTTTTCAGTCACATGCAAGTTCTCATGAGCATTGAATATACTGTACTATATAAAAGACAGTTTTCAGCTTCAAACAAGATATTTCATTACTTTTAAAACCAAAAACAAACTCAAAATTCTGAAAAGCTTCAGGAGCCAGAACTTCAGCTTTCCCATTATAAACATTAAACCTTCACAGTTATTCAACTATACAAAGTTTTAGGTACATATATATAAGCTTAGCCAATTTATATTACTATCACAAAAGGGTGTGTCTCAATAGTCAGTGCAATTAGTTTATTACATTTCTTACACTAATTATATGATAAAGATATATATACATCTTACCTCTATTACCTACTGAAGTGTAACCTGCCCCTCTAACTGCAGTCATAGGTCGTGCTAGTCCTTCTTGCGAGCCTGTCACAGGACGACCTGAAGTGGACGGTACAGCCGTGATTCCTCGAAACTAGGCAAAGGTTGAAAAATAGTGAAGAGCATTATAAGTGAAAGTTAACACAAATATCAACCATAAAAATACCCATTATACACATCAGCAATGGCTGTAGTGAGAAAAAATTTAATGACAGAAATGCATAGCAATATTGCATTTCTTCTCTAAGTGGATTTATTAATTAATTATCCCTAGTAGTATAATTTTTAGTGTACACATTATTAAACCATAATTATTATTGATAATTATTCATGTTGTATTATCACTTTGATGTTAAATTTTCAGACACTAGCTACAGCTATCATCTCATTCCATCAGCTAAGGGTAAGCATGATTTGTTGTGTGTCTTCCAGAATCATCATACCTAAGGAATTAATTCTGACAAACAGTGAGCTTGATACAGAAATTAATGAACACTGAGAGTCAATAATTCAATGTTTGCATGATGGTTTTCAATCATGTTATATGGGATAAACTAAAAGCAAAAGCACTTCTTAGTTGTAACTTCACTTGGTAAATTTTACACAAAAGTAAAGCTTTTTGAATCAATTTGAATACATTTGCCCAAAAAGATTGGAAACTGGGTTGGGGTATTTCCAAACTAGGCAATACATTTCAGTAAAAAATGTAACATTATAATATTCAAAAGCAAAAGTTATGTATACCTTTATGCTTACTTCTACAATGCTGATGATGGATTTATAAATATATACTAGATGTACTTCTACAGGGTTCCCTAAAGTGTTCTGTTTCAAGAGTAAATAAAACCAAAATGAAGAGTAACAATTATTTTATATTTTGCTTTTGAAGTTCATATGTCACACTGTATTATAGCCTACAGAGTGCATAATTCTTCTTGTGATTCATGTGACACAACAATACAAATTGCGAGGGTAATTGTCTTTTATGTGATGTAATTTTAGTGTCTACTGACTGACTGACTGACAGGCAATGCATTACTGTATAGTGGTGTGAGTGGTAAAAACAGATGACCCCTCCAGATGGTCTTCAACCCCCTTTTGGGGAAACCAACATCTTACAGACTTTAGGATTTTAATGAGAAGTTCTCCTTATATCATAACCAACAGTCACAAAAACCACAAAATGAATGTTACACTGAAGCATACAATAACTTTCAACATACTACTACTACTACTACTACTACACTAGTCCACTTGACCGACGTAAACAGAACATATGGATATTATTTTTGTATGCTTAACGAACAGATTAAACAGATGATCTGTTACATTACAACTACTATATGCTTAAGTTTAAAAACTACATCACTGATCTACTGAGATTATGGGATACTGATGTATTATACCTTATATAACTGTAGCTTTAGATGAAAAACAGTAACTAATTAAAAATTCTGAATTAAAATCAATATCAAGGAAACATTTACAGTCTATATTATTAGTGTTTCTCTATTGATAAGAATTCTGGGTAGTAGGACTAAACAGCAAACTAAGTCAAATGTTTGTATATATAATGATTAAATTAATGGCACAGGTTCAGAGAAAAACTTTTCTGTTGACATAGAATGCAGTTAAAAAAAAGGTTACACTGTCAAAATCCTAAAGGATGAGTCATTTCAGATTATTTCTAGTCAGTGAGGGTTAATTATAATAACCACAGAGAAGATGGTTATTATAAAAAGGTACATAATACTGAAAATGTTTTTAAAATTTCACTCAAACATTTCATTAGAAGTAAGTGGTCTTTACGCTCTGGCAACATGCTTGGACATTGTTTCTCCAAATCCATAGGATAGATTTTTTTTTCTCAGTCTCTTTATTTTGGCCATAAATCTCAAACTTACTACCATTAAACATATACACTGACAATAAATATTAACCACCAGATTTCTTAATATAGATATTTTAACTTGAGTATTATTCATATAATTAAAGGTTGTATTTAATATTTTATCCTTTTTTTTAAGGAAATAATTGTCAGATGTCTATGGAATCTCCATCCAGAAATGAACTACAATTGGGTTAAGTTTGCTTGCAATTCAATTTGACACAGAAAAAAGCACCAACAAAACTCTTAAATGGAATAAACTAACAGTAACTGCAAGTACCATTATACTACAGTAAAACAAAATGCTTTACTACAGCAAATTCATCACCAGAAAATGGATTCTACTGAAATATAAATGTTCTTTTCTCTTTAAAGTTAAAGGATGATATCAATGTCTTCAGACGAGAAGAAACTTGTGATGCATACTAAAAAGTTTCTTGCATCAAGAGTAAACAAGCTTCTGGGATGGCAACTTAAGTGGTGCAAAGTAACAACATGTTAGTCATGCATGATGGAAAGAGCACAATTCAATTTCATGTAAATACTCTGCATCAAACAACTGTTCCCTTGTTTACTAAAGAGTTGCAGCAAGTATTAAACATAATACCACTCTAGGAAGTATCAAACTTTTGATAACTGAAACAACAGTATTTAAAAACAGCTTGATATCTCTCTCTTCTATGACACACACATCATTATTTTCCAAGATATAAAGTTTGACTTACAGGACCAGCTTTTGATGTACCTGGAACTCTCATCTGTAATAAACATACCAAAGAGGATTTAGAAATATAAATTATGATAACCAAAGATACATTTAATAAAACATCTGTGAGAATTTAAACTGTTTTCTAAGAAGTTTAACACCATCTTTCTGTTTAAGGTATCAGGTGGATAATCTTATTGCAGTTTGGGAAAAGGAAGCTTATTTTAAATGAATCATGCTTGAAAGCACTAGTTCTTGCAAGGTATGATTAGAAAGTTACACTAGCTTTGTCCAAACATATATGGCTTTTCCTTTAATTTCATGGAAACAAAAGCTAATGGTTAGCAGAAAGGGATTTTAAAAAAATGGAAATGAAGAACACTAAAACAAAACCTTCACATCATAAATTTTTAAGAACATTGTTGTCTTTTATCCTTTTACAAAATAAGAATATATACCACATTATGGGGTTGGTGAAATTGTTTTACTAACCAAATTTTTTTCTTTTATTTGTACTCCTTCGACATATGATATTATATACACTGATGGAAAAATTGCATCACCCAATTTTTTTTATATATTCTTCATGTATCCTGTAATTTTTATGAGACTGTGCATTGTATAAGTGTAAGAACTAGTGCAAAACTGTTTTGGACATGGGGTGGTGTAAGTTGATTCATATTTCAGTCAAATATATATATACATATATATGCATCTTTATTAACAAACTAACCATGACGAATGTATTACAGCAGATGATAAACAAACTTGGTAAGTACAAAAATGTCTTCTGAGTAAGAAAACCTACATTTAAAGATAACTCCACTAATGTAATTGAGAAAAAGTGGTCACAGAGCCTTGTTTTAATATTTGGTTGTGCTCCCCTTGGCTTGATAACTGCTTGACATTACCATGGCATAGATTGCAAAAGGGGACTGAATGTAGAAATGAGCAAGTTTTTGATGTCACACCTGGATTAGGGCTTCCTGTAGTTCCAAGGTGCTTCTTGGTTTCTTCCCTTGTACTTTGTTACCCATTACTTTCCAGTAGTTTTCAATAGGGTTGAGATCTGGGCTGTTGCCTAGCCAGCATATTGTCTTGATCCTCTCCCTTTGAAGATAGTCTGAAGCAATGAAATAAAACCTAAAATTACCTAAGAATCGTCCAAACGTGTGCACTGATCAGCTCCATCAAAGTGATCCCAAAATGTTGGCTTTACCCTGAACTTGAGGATTTAGATGTACTTGTCAGCATTGAGGGTGCCTTTCACGAAATGCAAGCATCCCACCCCTGGCCAGAGATTCATTCCCATATCATCTGACCCTGCAGATGCTTCACAGTTGCATTCAATCATGCTGGATGAAACTCTTCTCCACATCAACATCACACAAAGTGCTTCCTATAAGACTCATGCAGGTTCAACTTTGAGTTGCCTGAGAAGATCACTTTGCTCCACATTGCTTCAGTCCAGCCAACATGCTCTTTGGTCCAGTTGAGTGAGGAAGGGTTTCCTTTTTGGCTGTCTTACTGGCAGACGGCCGAACACGGGCAAGACCGGATGGTGTGCTCAGTGATGGTGACCCTTGAAGTTTCCTGCCATGTTTTTTTGAGACCTGTGGATAACAGTCGACGATTCTGCAGGCTCGTACTGATAATTAGACAATATTGCATCATCCATGAAACACATTTGCATCTACATGCATTAGAGCCTCAAAACAAATGATGATTCTAATGAAAATTATGAAAATGTTGGGTGATGCAATAAATTTTTCCATCACTGTACAGTGATATGATTTCTATTATTATTTTTTGCCAACAAGAGCATATCCATTTACCAAAATCATATTTTGCAGGTGTTGAGGTAGAGTCTACAAATAAATCATTAGTTAGATTAGCTATGAATTACAATAGTACTCTTTGATACATAAATATGTTTACTAACCATAGTCATATTTTACATATTTAAGTAAATACCTTTTTTTCACCATGTAATAAAATGTAAGAAACTAGTGTACACAGTCATGTCATGTTGATTTGCATGTGTGTAATGTTGAAAAATGTAAGAAACTAATGTACACAGTTATGACATGCTGATTTGCATGTTGATCTTTGAAGATTTTTTTATGTAAAGCAATACATACACTAACATATGTGGATATGCTGTGGGTCCTGTCCATCACATTGTTCTTTTAATGTTCTCAATAAAAAATACAAGTTAAAGTTGATCTTGTATTTTGTCATGAAGTGTACAGAAACTTTTGTGTAACTAAAAAAACCTGGAATTCAAGCAGATCTAGAGAATAATTAGTTATTTTAGTACTGCAAGAAATAACTTACTTGTAAAAATGGATAGATTTTATATTTACTTGTGCTATTACTGTGTTATATTATGGTAGTTTAACTGTACTATACCAATGCAAATTACCATGTTATAACTGTTTGAAAAATGCATTTCTAACTTATATACATATTGAACTTAACTTCAGTTAATTAATCCTATCAACACTCGTGGCCAAACATGTTAGGTAATTGGTGAACTTGTTTTTATAATGATCACAAATATCAAAAAAACATCTAAATTTAAAAAATATCTTCATAAAATACATTCTGTGCAATAAAGTTTAAAGCTAATGAATTGACAATGTGTATCTTTAGATGTTCTACAGGACAGTTCATGGGTTCAAGTTGAATTCTAAGCAAAATGTATCTACTGTTTCAGGCAATATAGAAAAATGTAAATTTTCTACCAAGTAAGAATCAATCTCTAATTCATCAACTTCATTATTCAGGATATCTTTTCACAAACATATCTAAATCTGTTTTTGCACAATGCTTCTAGTTATTAGTTATTTCTAGTTATTTCCCAGCAGTCTTGTGGGAAAGAAGAATTTCCATTATATTTGTGTGAAGTGAAACTGGACCCACCTTGACATTGACCCCAAAATTAACATGGAAATAATATAAAACAAAGAAAATAAAAAGTTATTAGGAATAAGTTCTTATTCACTTTAATGGTATAAATTCATTTATAAGCACTTTTTTTTTAAACACATATTACCTGAAATAGGCAGATCTATCTAGTGTTTTATTATGATCACTCTAACTTAGAAATAAAACAAAGAATCAATATAAAATAAAAAGAATAAACATCTTACTCCAGTGGTGCCACGAGAAGTGCCCGGAGTTTTACCTGTGACCTGTACAGAAATTAATGACATAAAAATATTAAGAAATCAAATTCTGAGGATATACATTAAAGAAAATGTAGAGCAAATAGATATAAATTCTATAAATAGATTCTTGCATGGAAAAAATTACAGTTACAAAAATAAAGACATCATTACAAAGAATTTTATTATCATTCGCACACTACAGAATTTGACTAGTAGTAGTACATGCCAAACACAACAAATCAAATATTCTTTACATCAATGTTAAATCCAAATAGTTTATTTTGACAGCATGCTTTGAAGTACAAAATATAAGCCAGCATATATTGTATTTCTTTACTGAATAAAATATTGCAAAAATTAAGATATTACATTAAATCTGAATCCTACAGACATAAGATCCTCAGTTTCTAAAATGTTTGATCTGCTAGTAACTTTAAATATTTTAAATAACTTGGGTTCAAGTTTTACATTTTTAGAATTAAAATAGATTTCAAACAGGAACTTACCTCTGAAATAAATCAATCCTTGTTGTGTTTGAATTCATATTGTCAACAAAACATGATTAAAAATTTTCTTTATGTCTTTTTTTCTTTATTATGTTCCTCAAGAGTACCTAGACATTGTCCTCTGTGGGAAGAGGGGCTCCTACTTCTGGAGTATGTCCTTTCATAATACATGTCTGGGTTGCTTCTCCAAGAACCTTCCCTTGCACGAAAAGTACATAGTATTCTTCCTACCTACTTATGCTACTAACTCTCTCTCACTGTTGGCTCCATAGGTTCAATACACAATTATCACTCACAAAACTGACCAATTTGTCTGAATTAAAGGATGTCATGGAGAAGTGGTACTCTGCTGAGATAAATGCTTTTTTTGTTAGTGTTCTTTAGGTTTAGGATTTCTATAAGGCTGATCTGCTTCTCTAATTCTCCCTCAAACCCAGCTCTGTATATTATTTTCTGGTTAAGGATTCTAATCAAACTCCAATTAGCTACATACTTCTCGTAGTCTAGATTATTATCTTCCGGCCCTGTAGTTTGTAGTTTTATACTTTTAGTTTCTTTTCATGTTAATCAGTTCCTACTTCCTTTACGTATAGCTTATAGTTTTATATTTTCAATTTCTTTTCATGTTAATCAGTTTTCCACTTCCTTCACAATGTGGGTAAGTCTATCTTTAAATTTCACATTCTGAGAATTAAAATGAATTTCAAACAGGTGCTTATCTCTGAAATACGTTTCCCCCTGCCTCCCTACAACCAAAATTTTATCATGACTGCAACTTTCAACAAAATCTAAATTATGGTAAGAAAGCAGATTATTTAAGATCTCCTAATTCTTGCACAATAAGTCACATGGAAGATGGGAGAGTGGAGAATTACAGGCAAGTGATGCATCCTTATGCAATGTGCAAAGGACATTCAGAAACTTTTAGACATATGTTTTGTTGACAGCATAGGTTCAAACTCAACAAGAAATGGCTTTCAGTATATGAGAGGTAAGTCTATCTGAGTGGAAAAACAATGTTTCTCAGTGTCAAAAATGTGGCACAAAAATTAGTCTAAACAGCAAAAGATTGATATATATTTTTCATTAAAAAGTTGACAACATTTGTAAAAACCTAAAACAATTTTTGTTTGTTTTTGAAAGACTTGTTTTTCGCTTCTCTATTATTAACAATATTTTTTTAAATTGCAAAGTAACTCAACTGGCTATGTAACACACAGAATTTTTTTGGCCAATGAAATGTGTTGAAACATTTAAGTTTTATGGCCTGTGAGCCATTTCATTCAAAAATTGTATTTCATGCAGTGTAATCATCTTTGATTTGCTGAATAGAAAGTATGGTATTCATATGAAAGTCTAAAAATGTGTTCCAAAAAGATATCTGTTTATGAACTTGATGTTTCACTTTACCAGTTTAGGCTTAGCACAGAAATAACATTATCAAACACTTCTAAGTTTTCTGTAAGTTTTAAGATGTGTGAATTTTTGCAAAAATTGCCATATTTTCCTTTACAGAAAAGTCATTACTTCTGTGTTCTGTATTTTATTTGTTTCTAGTTCACTTGCAATCAATCTCTAATTTAGGATGCACTT